GTCGCTTTCGGTTGTTAGTGTGTATATTGCTGTATGTATGCATGTGTCACTTTTGGCTGTTAGTGTGTATGTGGCTGTATGTATGCGTGTGTCGCTTTATGATTTTAGTGTGTATGTGGCTGTAAGCTAGCGTGTATCGCTTTTGGATGTTAGTGTGTATGTGGCTGTATGTATGTGTGTGTCGCTTTTGGATGTTAGAGTGTATGTGGCTGTATGTATGCGTGTGTCGCTTTTGGTTGTTAGAGTGTATGTGGCTGTATGTATGCGTGTGTCGCTTTTGGATGTTAGAGTGTATGTGGCTGTATGTATGCGTGTGTCGCCTTTGGATGTTAGAGTGTATATGGCTGTATGTATGCGTGTGTCGCTTTTGGATGTAAGTGTGTATGTGACTGTATAAATGCGTGTTTCGCTTTTGGATGTTAGAGTGTATGTGGCTGTATGTATGCGTGTGTCGCCTTTGGATGATAGAGTGTATGTGGCTGTATGAATGTATGTGTCGCTTTTGGTTGTTAGAGTGTATGTGGCTGTGTGTATGCATGTGTCGCTTATGGTTGCTAGAGTGTATGTGGCTGTATGTATGCATGTGTCGCTTTTTGGTTGTTAGAGTGTAGAGTGTCATAAAGTTATATTTTCTTGTTGACACATATAACACACATTTCATGCTATTTTAAATATATATGTAAGGCCAAAAAAAATCTTAAGACAGTTTGTAAGGTGACGTCACATAGAAAGAACACAATCGTTTTGCAGGTTATTAAAAGAAACATTTGCCTTCTCTTGAGAGAAACAGATTTCACCGTCATATGTCTCGTAATATATGATATACGATATTTCTCCACTTCCGACATTTAAATGTGCTCATGTCTCGCGTTAGAAATCAGAAAATTAAATGTCTTGAGAGGAATATATTGCATCACTTGATGCAATGGTTGAATCGGTATATCAAACTGTGCATATATATTTAGCTTCATGCATTTTATAATACACTTGGGTCAACTTTAAAAATTGTAAAATTGCATTGATATAACCACTATGTCTTAAATATGTATCTATGACGCAGGTAAGCTATTAAAATGGCGTCGATAGTAACATCTAGCCGATACCATCTTGGAGTCTCCAGATAGCATGCATTTTTAGGTTATCTAGATCATTTTAGCGTCTAGACTAGCTATAAGTTCAGTTATCCAAGTCTACGTAGCTATACGTACTATGTAGCAGTATCAATATTGAACGCTCAGGGGAAAAGAACATGCCTGTTTGTGTCGCAAGAAAAACATGATCGTATTGCAGATCCTTAAAAACAAAATTTAAAGCTAATCTATACGTATCGTCTAAAGGTCATCACAGAAATAGATTCCACCATCAAATCTCGTGCGAGACGATATTTTTCCATGGCATAGCACTCTCGACAGTTGGTGTTTTTCCCAAAGATCCTGACAACATACAAGACAATATATATTCAGTTGACTTATTAATATTGACCCAACTTTCATGGCCATCAATTTATAAACAATAAAGATATTCTAGATAACTTTGCAGATTTAAATCTGATGAGAAAAATTTATTTAGTGTCAATTTGATTAATTCTGTATCCGTCAAAGCTTCCTAGCAATAAAAATTATTGACTTCAAAGTTCATGTCGCGAAGGAGGGTCTAGAATAAGGAGAAGTAAACTATCTGCTCTTTAAAACACGAATCGGCAAAATTATTAATACTTTTTTAATACCCCGTTTCCTAGCAATGAATATTATTGTACTCAAGAGATCCTGTCGCGAAAGAGGGCCTAGAATATGGAGAAGTAAACCGTTTTCTCTTTAAACCACGCATAGGTAAAATTATTATCATTATTTTATCACTCCGCTTCCTAGCAATGAATATAATTGGACTCAAGAGATCATGTCGCGAAAGTGGGTCTAGAATACAGAAAAGCAAATTATTCTGATCTTTGTCCATAAATGTGGAAATATTAATGAAACATAATATAACTAAAATTAATACAAATATGTATAAATAATTGCTATACAACTTTGAATTCTCAAGATCCTGTATCCTGTTGGGGCCTCGGTGGCCGCTTGGTGTACTGAGATTGTGAGTTTGAGTCCCGCACGTGGCAGGTGCGCATAGCAGGTGCACTTGACTCCAATCTTAATTGACTAGGATTGTCAGTTTTCCTACCGAAGGTCTGTGGTACTCTGCGGGCACTCCGGTTTCCTGCACCAATAAAAACTTACCGACACGAAATAGCACAATAGTGCTAAAAGTGAAGCTGAACACCAATCAATTAATCAATTCTACATTTGTTTGTACATCCTGCCGATACTGTTTACTTATATTTTGGCATTGCACAAGGTCACTGACTTTTACAGTATGTTCTTATGTTGGGCTGTTTCACCACTGTCCCAGGATAGGGGGAGGTTGAGCGTTTACAACCATGTAAAACCCCGTCCACATTTGTGCCTGTGACAGTCATGGTCCTGTAATTCAGTGGTTGTCGTTGAGTCACGTGTGTCACATTTGCTTTTTTTTGTAAATTGTTTTATAATAAATGAGCTGCGTAGGATAGAAACCGACCTTATGCAAATGAATATCAATACATCTGTTCACTTATTTCGGGTTGAAGGAAAACAGATTATTCTGTATGTGTTTTAGGTCATTGCTGAAGTCCGTACGGTGACCTATAGTTGCTTACATCAACGACATATGAACTCTGGCGGATAGCTGTCTCTTTGACAACCATACCACATCTCCTTATATTTTTATGTACTACGCTTACCCATACGTTTTATTGTAACTTCATTCATAAAGCAAACAGGTTCAAGACTTTCCCCCTTTTTTCTCAGATTAAGGGATTTCTTTAGAAATAAAGGTTATGGATCAACCTTTATGAATTCACTTGGAGAATTGCATATAATAGTATTTTATCTGATGTGTATGATCTTAAGGTGAAAAATGCTTTTTCCTAACTACATAATTATGTACTTGTAATTGTTACCGTGTGATCTTTCCAGTATCTTCCTACATTAAGGTAGTACCAAACAACTTGACTAAAATTAATTTGGCTCTTTAATTTTCATAAAATTTGACAAAATATTTACTTAAATTGACCCTTAGACAAAAAATATATAAAAATTTCAAAAACTTGAACCACACACTTTATCGGAAAAATTTCATTGGATATATAGCAGTTTGACAGACACTAATTTTTATCACTGAGAAGCTTAATATTTCCTTAACAATAGAACGTGATTAAAACGTTCAGCTGATTTTTACAGAGTTATCTCCCTGTAGTGGTATGTTCCAACTTAAGGAACCGGATGTTGGTGGCAAATCTTCAAATTCTATACTCAAACGCAGAAAGGATTTTGAATTATGTTTATTGTAAATACGAGATACACAATACACGAAGAAAAGTATAAGTGTTTCATTTAAGAAATTCTTGCAGAAAATATTTAAAAAATAAATATTGAAACCCTTCAAAAAAGAAAACATAATTGTGCTTTATGTAGATATATTTTATATGCCTTTTCTGTGCAGGTAACATATGTTTTGATTATATTTGTATCTTGCTAATTATGAAGCAAATTATTCATTATTGTTGGTCGAATTGAATATAATATCTCTTATTTAAGCTTTAACACAATATTTTCTCTTCATATACATATACTTCACACCGACATATCTAATTCCTATTCATTGGCAGTTAATAAATTTTGAGTTGACACCTGCTTCCATACTGACTTTTGTAAGAAAATATGTATGTATTACAATCCTTTATAAATTATTAGTATTATTATTAATATTTACGTGGAAGCTATAAAGGGACACATAAAAAATAAAATTAATCCGTGATCTCGAATTCCCAATCCGTGATCTCGGATTAATAATCCTTTATCTCGGATTCCTAATCCGTGATCTCGGATTTCAAATCCGTGATTTTGGATTCCCAATCCATGATTTCGGATTGATAATCCGTTATCTCGGATTCCCAATCCATATTAAAAAATGTTTAAATCATAGTTTCTTGTCAACTGTAAAATATAATCTATTATAGTGCAAAACGTCTGATACATATATCGGCTTTTACATTGACATATTGCATATCAACATTAATTTCAAATTTCACACTCGTGTAATAATTGTTGGTCAACTGGAAATCATAAGCCTTCTTATTATATTATATCACAGCAACACTTGCATTATGATAACTATTAAAATTATCATCCGTCGTACAATACGGCTGACATAAAAATCGGCTTTTACATAGAAATATTGCAAATGAACATCGATTTCAAGTTTTATATTCATGTAGTAATAATTGGTCAACTGGACAATCATAATCCTTCTTATTATATCACAGCAACACTTGCATTATGATAACTATTAAAATTATCACCAGTCGTCCAATACGTCCGACATATAAATCGGCTTTTACATTGATATATTGCATATAGACATTATTTTAAGTAATATACTCGTGTAGTAATTGTTAGTCAAATGTACAATCATAAGCCTTCTTTACATACATGTTTTAATATTATTATCAATCGTACGATACGTCCTATATATAAATCTGCTTTTACATTGAAATATTGCATAGCGACATTGATTTAAAGTTTTACATTCATGTAGTTATATTTATTCATCTGGCAATGGAAAACCATAAACTTACATCATGTCTTCTATAGAAATACCCCTCGTTCAAACCCTCCCTATTATTAATCTTTAACCTTATCAGATATGAAATTGCTTTTAGTAGCTGCATAATATAATAACACGTTTAGCGGTATTGTTAAATTATGTGTACTATAGAACCGTCCCCTATAGAAATACCTCCCATCCAAACCCTCCTTCTTATTAAACTTTAACCTTATCAGATATGGAATTGCTTTAAGTAGCTGCACACTATAATAACAGGTTTAGCGATATTGTTATTAATCGTTACACCAGATACATAAATTAATATATTTTTTCTTTGAACCGTCCAATCGATCTAATACTGCTTCCGTATGAAACAGTTACAATATAGTGACGTTTGACTTCTCGCGGTATTTTATTTGTCGCTGATTTCTTCGTTATAGTTAAATGGTTTGTCTTTCATGATAAAAATGGTTTGTTCAATAAAACTCTGATCTGGAGACGTTGCGAAAGTTTTAATTTTGTATTTTTAATTGGATATTTTACACACAAAAAATAAAACCCACAAAGGTAAGTGTAATTGTTTTTAATCAATGATATAATTATTAAGATTTTGTTAATGTATCAGAGATAATATAATATTAAGATTGTTTGCAACAAATAGTTTACATCAATTTATGTATACACTTTCAGCTCATTAGTAAGTACTTCGTTACCGACATGATTTATAAAAAAAACTTTCTTAAATTGTCCATCTATAAATTAAGAAATTACAAAGAAATTAGGGTTTAAACTTCCTCAGTCAAAGTTAGCCTCAGATGGATTTTGCTAATATTCTCAGGTCCTTTTTGGTCATACAGCTCTTCAGCTGTTTCGGTTCTTATACATCCTTGGTCTTTAAATATTCGACTCTGAGCGTTCCTGATGAAGGTAAATTTCAGAAAAGCGCTTCGGGCTTATGACATTTATAAAGTGTTGTAAATTATTGTTTTCATTTTTTGTTTTCAATTTGTTTACCATTTCTCGTAATTTGTGTATAAAAACTATTTTTTACTTGCAAAACCAGAAAAAAAAATGTGGAACAAACTACATGAAATTAAAGTCTGGGACGAAAAAACAAAATGAAAAGCAACGAGGCATGCATGTGCATGGGGGAATCGGAAATATAAAACTTATAGCTTTGTGCAATTGCAAGTTAGAGTAATTCAAGGTTCTTTGTAAAGATAAGTAGAATTTGTTACACATGCAACACCCGTATTAAAATTTCAAATCCGTACATGAATATATACATTTGAGGAGTTCTTTAAATTAGTTTTCCCAGAGTACATCTATTTTAAAACCGTATTTTTTAAAAAACTTTCAAAAAAAGTAATTTTCTGTTTCAAATCCGATATTCATTAATGTTCCTCAATTAAAGTTTTTCAAACGTCAAATGCTGATGTTTCTAATATATTAGATAAAATATACCAGTACAAATGTAACATATATCATTTATAATTGTTTAGCACCGACCATTGACTTTTTCTTTTTTTTATGTAAGGGGGTGGGGGCTCTTTTTCTTTAAATAAAGTACATTTTCAATAACATACTTATGAAACTCAGGTCACCAATACTATAAAAGTCCTGGTATGACAAAATGGGAATAATTCAAAAGAGAAAAACATGGCCTTATTTATAACAGTTCATTTTTTACAACTATTTGGATCAGGTTATTTAATCGTTGGACATATGTTACACGTGTGTATGTAGCGACAATTGTTGTACTTATAATGTTAACAAGATTCATAATATCATATAACCTTTCAACAGTACAGAATACAAGCTGTTCCAAGTATCGTATTGTTTTCTATATAAACATCCCGGGTCACCAAGTCGTTGATAAATATGATGGAGGGAAACAATAAGAGCATATACGAATCTCTGTTGGGGACAAATATAGAATATAATACACATGTATCGATGGGAATTCATTTATACTGCAACTGATCTTTCTACTATACAAATACAGGTTTGACAGATAACATGAAGTGATAAACGTATATAAAATCCTGGTATCCCCGCTTCTGTTGTGAGCGACCGGTTATATTCAAATTACTGTTCACGTCACAGTTCAATTTGAGTTCCTAATCGTGGTCCACGTTTGAATCATGTTAATTTCATCAAGCCTGAAACATATCCAACGGTCGGGAAGTAAAATAAAACTATGCGTTTAAGCGTAAATGTTAAATTGCAGTTTAAAAACAATACTCGTATATTATAGGAAAATATAAAACGAATTTGTACTCGCTACTAATAAAAACAGTAGAAAAGTCCAGCGGGCCTCGCTTTTCTGTCTATTTGTCCCTTTATCCGCCTTGTAGTTATGCGCAGGCCTAGGAAAACCTTTAACTGTTATGTCATCTTTGGTTTGTTTCTTTTTTTTTCGAAATTGGCCATGCTTTATAGATTTTAAGTTATGGGAATGGACAATAACAATAATAAACTTGTCGACGCACGTGGACATTTGTAACCCGAATAATGTCAGATCTCCGATTGCTACCACTAGAGGGCGCAGAATTAATACGCACGTGGTGTCATTCAGTTAAATGCGCTTAAAAATTAATTCCTGTGTAAACGCACTAGGTGTCTACCCAATTAATGCAAAGTGGTTTCGACTTATGTCCGGATGTAAATGAATGTGGTGTCAATTCCGATTCCTATACGTTAATCTTTAAATATATTTGTCACGTGACGCTAAGCAAGCAATATCTATTGATAATCTTCGTATTTAGACTGACGTTGTTGTTCTATCATATATTGAGACATTTGGTAAATTTTACAGAAGACAATGTTTAAACTGTCTTCAAACAAAGTTAGCCTTACATGGTTTGGCCTTTTTCCCACATGCTTTATAGTTAGAGAAATCTTAACGCTATTTATACCATCTTCATTCCAAGCTAGAAGAACTTGTAATTCTTTATGACTGTAAAACTAGAAATGAACGCAACAAAAACAGTATATTTTTTTAGAGAAGATTAGAAAAAATAAAGAAACAGCTAGTAAAAAGGAAATACCAATTGTGCATAGAAAAAAAGCTCTTTCGATACAAATCAAAATCAACAAAATATATATATGTATATCCCAACCGATGTATGGAGAAAAAACGACCAGAAAGTATTCGGTATGAAAGCACTTATGAAATTTAAGTCACGTGACTATTAAAAGCTTGCCATGTTGTATAAACTTCTATAAGTTCTCATGGCTGTATGTTGACCTTTGGATGTTTGTATTATCATTTGTGGTGTTGGGTTGCTGTGTCAATGACGTAAACCATACATTTGTTTTTTTCATAATTGCACTTTAATTTAATTTTTAATCAGATTTTCTAAAATTGTCTACTGTGTATGTTTCATTACCAACAAACATAGCACAAAATGTAATTTTGTAAGCCTATTTTGCAAACCAAAATAATTAAAACAGAAATATATCATTAAACTATTGACGACATAAATATAGTGACTGACCTTTGTTTTGAAAACAAAACCCAAACAAACATAAAAAGAAAAAAAAAACACAACAGAACATTGACATAACGCCTGCTGTATAGTCATGCATAATAGAGTCCGAAAGATGGAGAGTTTGACAGTAATAGATACAAGTTCTGATTGCTATATTTGATATTTATTTGCTAAACGTTTAGTGGAAAAATTTTCATCAATATTCACGATTGATTGTTTTACTGTTACTGTTAAATGCAACTTTCAGCAATCTTGTCTATATCGTGGCGACCAGTTTTAATTGGTAGAGGAAGCCTTAGTAACGTAGAAAACCGCCGACCTTCGACTGAAAACTGACAATCCCAGTCAATTAAGATCAGAATCGAACGCACCTGCCACGTGCGGGGTTCGAACTCACAACCTCCGTGTTGACAGGCTAGTGATTACTATAGATGAACTATTTAGACTACTCGATCTCCATTTTCGAGACGATAACAGGCAAACAATAAATTTATTGTGATGATTTTAAAAGTCGATTCTTCAACTTGCAGAAAGCGTGAAACTCTCTTTTCACGATATATCGAATTAACATCTCCATTACGACCGGATGTGGCTGTGTATTTATAGATCTCGCATTGCCAAATAGACGACCTTTTTCAGAGTTGATATAACAGTCAGATACAATTTCTGTACCACAGTCAACCATTTGTGGCTTACATATTTTAAGTAGCTATATTTTTAAATGATTAAATTTGGTAACGATGAACGACAGTAACAATTTGCATTATAACTCATATTATGATTGATTGATTGATTGATTGGTATTTGCTTTCAATATAAACATGATATTTGACTAAAGCAGATAATTGATATACATGTATCAGAGAAATCAATGAAACATAACAGGGGGTCTGAGTGGGGGGCATCATTTCTTTATTCTTTGATTTTTTAGACTATTTTTCCGTATTCTTTATATTTTAGCACCCCCAATATTCTCTATTTTGTTTTGTTTTGCCTATTTTACTCTTCTTTTGCGCTTTTTGCCCATTATTCTCTAACTTGAAATCCCCATCTAGATCCTGATAACAATAAACCTATTAACATTTTTGGTATTTAACTGAATTTTGTCTCCGAATGACCTTAGATCTGCTCCGAATAACCTTCTGACTTCAAGCAACAATCACTTTTTAATTGTGACGTCAAATTTTTTAAATTGTGATGTCCAATTTTACGGGAATTAACTTGTGTGATTTTACGTAATGGCGGACAAATTTGCATACAATTGTAAATACGTCTATAGAACATAGAAGACCTAAAACAATCCTACAATTTTTTCAATAAAAGCGTAAATGATCTTGTCTTTGATCATTATTCATTAAAGAATTGTTAGTGTTAAGAAAGTAGATATTAAATTTATTCCTTGATTACAAAGTCTGCAAAGATGTTAAACAGAACACATTTAAAGATGTCGATTCTATACTTCAATACAATTCTATAATAATTGCTTACTTTAAAACGCTTCCATCTTTACTTATTACCTTATATCCCGTTACAACTTTGATCAATGCCAATTAAAATATACTTTTAGGATATATCTTTTAGTCCAAAGTTTGAATATAAACATCAATTGCAACCTTTAATTAGAAATATTTGAATCACGTTTTATTTATTTGCAATAAAAACTTGAAATTACATAATACATGGTGATTTTAATTTTTCAAATGAAACAAAAACAAAGAATTTCATACTGCGAAATATGATACATTTTCTGTTTTGTTCAAACGTTCTTGCAATTCACGTCTCCACTTAAAATTAGACACACTTTGCATTTATATTTAGGATTACTTGTTGCAAAGTATGTCATCCATACCCTCATCTATAAGGTCATTTTAATAGCCAAATTTCTTTGCCATTTTAAAAAAAGCATAAACCAGTATAACACCATAGTTATTACACAGGGAAATTTCACTCACATGAATTTCACGTGAATTTAAATTCATGTGAATCTCACGTGAATGTCACCTCAAACGAACTTATACGTGTAACTCACGTGAAATCAGTTCGTGTGAGTTTTACGTGAATCTCATGTGAAAC